AAAAAAAAAAAAAAATGCTGAAGGGGTATTCTGTTCTGGACTGTTCGGTGTGGTAACTATTAAATTCATGCTTGCCCAAACAAGAGATGAGATGCAGTGGGTTTCTGAACTAAGCTCTGGCTCTGGACCGTGCTGCTGCACCTAGGTTTTGTGGTTCTCAGCCAGGCCTGACTGGAGCAAGACTGACATTCATCTGGCAAGCAGCAGTTGGCGAGTTGAAGTGCAGAGGAGATGGCCCTTCATGGACCGTCTGATTCTTTTGCTTGTTGGCTTTACACACTTTTCTACAGAACGTGTGGCAGCCAGGAGCAGAGGCAGAAAGATCGCAAGTTCAAGCCCAGCTGGGGGAAATTAGTGACTTAGCTTGACCCTGTCTCAAAAAACAAAACAAAACGAAACAAAAATGGGCTGGGGGTAGCTCAGTGCGAAGGCTCTGGGCTCAATCCCGAGTACCAAACAAATGAAAGCCAGAAACGGGAAGTCATGCGGAACATACAGAAAGCCCACCAATCTGATTCGGCGAGCAGTGAAAATAATAAAAAGATAACAACACCGACCTTTCAAAGGTTTTGGGACGGAGCCGGTGCGCTCCAGACTCCACCTGCGTGTCTCCGGGATAGTCTCCTGATTTCGGCTGTGCGACCGCAGTCCACCGCTGCAACCTCTGCCGGGTCTCCGCAACACCCGCGCTTTGGCTGCCCACGGTTCAGATTCTTGGCATCAAGCCCCTTCCCTCCCTTTAACCTTTTCGCATTTCCAAACCATGGGCCACATTTTCTGCTCAGTCCCTAACTCAAAAGCAGGACGAGCTGTTTCTGTCCACCCCAGGTTTCCTGCACAGCTAGCACCCCCCAAGGACCCTACTCCGGTGCCTCCACGCCCACCCGCTTTCTTCGAGATCGTCTCATGAAATAATGAGCAAACGTCTCTCTTTTTGGTATTGGGGAACTGAACCTAGGGAGGGCCTTTGAACTGAGCTACAACCCCAGGCTTTTTTTATTTTTCATTTTGAGACAGGGTCTCAAAAAGTCCGTAAATTGCCCAGGCTGAGCTCAAATTTGTGATCCTTTGCCTCAGTCTCTCAGAGTGCTGAGATTCCAGGTGTGGGCCACCACACCCTGCTCCTTCTCTATCTTTACCAGATGGGAACTGCAGGGTATAGATAAACCAACTGTGGAGTGTGCAATTCTTTCCAAGAGCGTCAGCAACCATTTTCCAGAAAGCGCTACATGGCAAATTTGGGCTTTGCAGGGCAAGGCCCCTCTGATAAATCTACTGGACCCTGCCATTCTGGTTAAGCAGCCCCAAGCTATACCCATTGGGACAGGCCTGGCTGCGTGCCAGGAACACTTATTTATGGACGCTAAAACTTGACTCTCATTATTCTCATGGGTCCTGAAATAGTTTTGCTATTCGCAATACATTCTTTTGATTTTTTTAAAAAAAGCTGTTACAGATGTAGAAACCACTGTTGGTCTGCAGGCCATACGAGAGGCAGTGGGCCAGCCTTGTCCTTCAGACTGAGGTTTGCCAACCCCAACCCTGGGAGAATGAGCTCCAAACAGGACTGTGCTGTTCACGGCCATGTCTGATTTCCACTTCTGAAGGCCGGGAAGTTACAGTGGGGTTTGGGAAGGCCGGGGAGCGCAAATGATGTCGCACTACGTGGCCCTTGGTGTCTAACCACTAAGCTTGGCTTCCTGGTGTTCTCTGCAGCGAATATCCAGCATCAGAAACCAGGGTGTCCTGGTTGGGCTGCTTCAGCACTTCATTGGCACTGGATTCTTAGCATGCCTGACTCTAGAAATAACCCCTCCTATTTTAACACCCTCGCCTACTCAGAGGGTTTTTAGTTTCATCCCAAACAATCCCAGGGCCCGGAGGTACAAGTGGAAATTCAGAACCTATAAGCCACATTGCTTCTCTTCACCTCTCCAGCCTTCCCCCCGGTTATCATCCATGTCCACGGGGACACATCTTCCTCTTTCCTTCTGGGTCTGGGAACCCCTGGCTGCAGCCTGAATTCAACCAATTGCTATGCAAGGTGCAAGGAAAAAAGGGTTTTCTGAGATCTTTTATTTCAAACCACAGTCGGATTCTACCCAGTTACAAATGCCCCTCAGGGCTCCTGGACGCCAAGGAGGGATATTCAATTCACTGAAAAGGGTGTATATTGTCACAGAGAAGAGAGGTGCCAGCTTTCTACACAGGGAGCGCCCAGCATGGGTAAAAGGAGCACAGGCTGTCCCTGTAAGGTTTTTCAAGACCACAGGAGCTGGCTTATCTCAGGCAGCAGGTGCAGCAGGGACAACCTTAAGCCCTCTAGAAGGTGGGGCCCCTCCAAGCCCTTGTGCACCTGCTGGCCTTCCTCCCTCCAACCCTGGGCAGGTCTGGCTCACGTCCACTTTCTCGTTAGAGGAGCTGGTTGCTGCCCACAGGTGTTGTGGGTGGGGCAGAGGGGAAGGGGCAGGTGTAAAACCCCTGCCTCCTCTCTAGAAGATTGTGGGCTGGGGCTAAGCTTCCTGAGGTCTAGTGCTCAGGTTCGGCATCCATGCAGGACTCCCAGGGGTTCTGGGGCATTCGGGGCAGAGAGAAGAGCAGGAGGGCGATGCCGCCGAGGAAGAGCAGGATGAAGGCGGCACAGGCGCAGGCGAAGGACCAGGAGTAGAAGTACTCGATCCAGACGGTGTCTTCACTGTCAATCATGCGCTTCACTGACTGCCGCAGGACCTCTACCGAGACCAGGATGCAGAGCCCTGGGGCAGACCCAGGGCATTCAGGAGGAGGGCACTGTGGCCACCAGCCCCAGTCTGCCCAGGCTACCGCGTGGTGGAGAAGGTAGTGACTTTGTCCTGGTTGGGGGAGGGAGGGAGGGGTGACTGGGAACCCACGGGCCCACTTTCCTGCCCCCCTCACCCCATGCAATGCCCACGTCCCTTAGGAGGCTGGCAGAGACAGGCCGCATCTCCTCCCATCTTTCGGTAACTGCTCTCTGGGAAGTTTCCTCTGTGCCTTGAGGATAGTGTCCTTGTGCAAAACGGACAAAACAGCAATATCTCTCTCTCTTTCGGGGCTCCTGGGGTCACTGAGGACCCAATCGAGTTCGCTTCTGCCCAAGCCCTGAGGTAGGCGTGCAGACGGAGTGGCACCCGGACATCATCTACCTGCAAAGGCGTAGAACATAGATGCCGGCCGCAGCAGGTAATCCCGCTTCTTGCGGAAGGACAGGACTGCACAGACGGTGCCCACAATGATGAAGCCGAGGCTGAAGATGCCGATGGCTGCCGCTGAGATGCTGTATTCTGTGAAACGGAGCGGCCTCAGGCCTGGGCTTCATCCCCACTGGGGCCTTCAGCCAGACTAGTGACAATTCCCATTTCACACCTGACTGAGAGACTACTCAGAAGGGCTGGGGTCAGAGGTTAGCAGGATTTCTCCAACCCACCCCCTTCCCCAGGGGCAGAGGCCAGGAGATGGGGAGGCTTGTGGCCAGAGACTTTCTGAGAGCAGAAATCTTCCTCCAAGTGACAGGCAGAAGGGGGCGCTGAGCTGTGGGAGGTAGGACAAGGGACTTCTAGACGAGCGACAGAGTGTGGGTGTTACTTAGCATGTGTGAGGGCGTGCGGGGGTTGTCTCCTAGTGCTGTGTGTGCCCTCACGTGTGAGGTCTTTTTAGTGTTGTGTGTCTGTGTGGGTGTGGGTGTCCCTTATGTGAGGCTCTGGTGATTGTGTGTGTGTGTGTGTGCGTGTGTGTGCGTGTGCACACATGCAAATGGGCACCTGTGCACTGTGTGCAGCCGTCCACACATGTGCAGGCCTGGTCTGGACGCGTGAGCTCCTGAGCTCCGTGGTGGGAAGGAGCACAAGGGTCCCTCCCAGTTCCCAGGGAATGACCTACTCCCTGTTCCCCTGCATATATGGACCCAACCCCAAACCCCAAAGCCTTCTCCAGGCCTGTGATCACTGGTCCCATTTTCTTAGCTCCTGACACAGGGCTCTGTTGGAAAACGTGCTCTGGCCAAAACTGCGAGCTACTGGGAAATGTCTCCTTCACCAGCTGTCCTCAGTGCTGATAAACACGCCCTGGGCACCTAGAGAGGCTTGCTGCCACTTGTGGGCCCAGAACCGGGAGGTGGCAGGTTGCTCAAGTGCACCAGGCCAGGGATGCCTCTCACCAGGAGTGGGGAAGTCATTGCTTTTCTGACTCCCTGGATCTGCAGCATGCGGCAGAAGTTGCTTCACACGACCCGCTGCCGTCTGCTGCAGGCTCACCTTTCTGAGTGGTGAATTCGAAGATCTCCGAGCTCTCGCCTGGGTTGAAATGTCTGAAGTAGGAACAGTTCTTCTCTGCAAAAAAGCCAGACAGCGTGTAAGTTGTGATAAAGGACCAGAAGCCAGGACAGAGACACAGAGAGAACATGGCACCGTCCTGCTGGCCACAGAGGAGACTGCTGGCTGGCTCTCTTCCCCCAAATCCTGAATCTGGACCAAAACACTTCTCTGACCCTTGGAACAACATTTCAGCAGGATAACGGGGTTGCATAAGAGGCTGGGGGGTCCTCAGGGAGCAAAGACTGCAGGACTTGACAGGGCAGACAGCGTACGATGAAGGCAGATAAGGGTAACCAAGACGCAGATTTCACAGCATTTGTCAGAGTGCAGGGTACATGGGTTCCAAAGATCCTAACAGCCAGGCCGATGCCTCTCCCCGGGGGACCCTGGGCAATGCCTGGAAACATTTTGGTACAGAGAAGGCTATTCCTGGCATCTGGTAGGTAGAAGCCAGGGATCCTACAAATGCCCAGGCCCCCTCCACAACAATCGTCCCACCCCAAATGTCAGGAGTGCCCAGGCTGAGAAGCTTAGGACCCACCCAAAATCTAGAGCCGTGTTTCTTGTCAGACTCGAGGCCTGCTTTGGTTCTCTGAGAGTTGTAGGGAGCAGCATATTTTTGAAAGTTTTTTAGGGGATTCTGATGCTCAGACAGGTTGGGAAGCCCCGCTGGGGGCCGGCTGCTGCGTGCAGGTAAAGAACCTCCACATGAAGGCCGAATTCTGACCGTTTCTTTTCATCAGAACCTCAGGGCCTGTGCCGGGGTGCGGCCCAGACACCAGATTCCCTTGTACCTGATCATTGTCCTAAAATCCATAGAGAGGGTCTGGGGACAGTAGGACCCCAAACCTGGATTCGATGGACGAGAGAGAGGTTCAGCACAAAGAAATTCACACTACTTTTAAATATAATTCACTTGCGTTTTCCCTTTCAGTCTTTGTCTCGTAACTAGACATACCATAGCATCGAGATAAAGTCTTATTGAATATGTTTAATATTCTTCATTCCTGATGTAGGAAGTTGCTGAATGTTTTATATTTTATGTTTCTTTTAAAAAACTATATTAGATTGCTTTTTATTTGTGCCCTTTATTTGAGGTCCTTCACTGATTTCTTTTTCTTGTGGACCCCTGACCCTCTCTGCCTTTAGTTTAAATGGCACCGAGTTTGGAATTCATTGCTTCCCCTCCAGGCTCCAGATGCCCCAGTTGCTTCTGGAAATCTACCCTGGGGGCTGCCGAAGTCATCGCTTTTGTTGGGATGAAAGCTGCCTTCTGTCTGGCTGCATCATCTGGGTGCCGCTTTCCCTGTGTTTCCTGCCCTTTGTCTGCTCGGGAATCAGGGCTGCTGCCTGTCCCAAGCTCCAGGAAGGAGCCGACGCTTGGAGATGGGGCCCCGGTCGAGCAGCAGTAAATGTTGAACAGGAAAGAGCCTCCTCTGCGAGCATCTATGTTTAAATCATTTTCCTTCCGAGCCGAGTCCCCCGGAGTGCCTGACGCCTGGTGGCAAAGTCAGAATCCATCCTGTGCTTTCCTGTCTCCCGGCCCCCACTGCTATTTTAAAGCATAACGTGAGCCTCTTGTATTTGTTAGATTATTAGCTGTAGATTCTCTTGAGCCTCAGCTTCAAGACAGCTCATGCGATGTCATAAGTCTCCCGGGGTCTCCCTCCGGACAAAGGGACATTTCTGTTTCGTTCTTGAAGGGCCAATTTCAGTTGTCATTGGAAATCCTCTGAGAAGAATTGAGTGAGTTCAAGCGTATTTCACGGTCAGCTGCCTCCCCGGCTCCTAGCTGTCCGCAGGTTAAAAGTCCGGGCCACCTGGAAAGCTTGGCCAGGCTCAGCTGGTGTGGTCCTTCTGGGCTGCTGCGGTGACTTGCTGAGGGCCTGTTCAGCTACACACGGGGCTCCCCTCTGGGGGACAGGGCCTGGCGACTGCTGCTGGGTGCTGGGATAGAAACGGCCTGAGCTCAGGCGTGCCAGGGTAGGCCAGAGGGCTGCGAGGGCAGGGCTGAACACTTTGGAGGGAGCTTTTCCTTGGGTGGTCCAGGCACAATGTCTCCCTCGCTCTTCCTCTGTGAAATACCCTGAGATGGGGAAGAAGGGACAGGGAGTACCCAGTGGATAAGATTCCTTCTCAGGGTTCTGGAAGCCTCAGTTTCTCTCTGAGGTGACTGGACTTGGAGACTCTCTCTCTGTCTCTCTCTCTCTTCCTCTCTCCCTCTCTTCTTCCCTCTCTCCTCTCCCTTTCTGTTTTTTGTTTTCTTTTTCAAGATAGAGTTTCACTGTGTAGTCCAGACTAGACTTGAACTCACTATGTAGCCCAGGCTAGCTTTGAATTTGGGACCCTCCTGCCTCAGCCTCCTTAGTGCTGGAATTATAGGCATGTGCCACTATACCCAGCCCCATTTTCTCTCCTGCACATGAGGAAAGCCTGCTCCTCTGCCCTGAGCCTAGCAGGAACATCCACTCTAGGCTACGTGGCTGCCTATGGGAGACCATAAGCCCCTTCATGGTCCCTACCTAATGGGCCCTAAAGATGGAGTGGGCACGTCAGACCCACACCTCAATCAGGACAAACCAAGACTGGCAGCTGCCAGTGTCATTCAAAGGGAACACAGGGTCCTGTCACATGGGCAGAACTTGTGGTGACCTTGCCCCTTTGGGTAGGTGATGTTTGGGAAGCTGAACAACAAGAACGGGTTAAAAAGGAAGCCCGAGGGCTGGGGATTTGGCTCAGTGGTTCTGCCGCCGGCCTTACAAGCACAAGGGCCTGAGTTCGATCCCCGGTACAAACAAACCAACAAAACACGAAGCCTGTGAGGCCCGCCGTGGGGGAGGTCACTTAGTCACAGGCGGGGCGTGTGATGGAGAGGGACAGGGATAATCTCGTGCAGACTCTGCAGATTCCAAGCCTTCCTACCCTTCCTCCTGGATGCCACCCCTGGGTCTATCACCCGTGCATGGACTCTGGGCTGCAGCTCTGCCTCCATCGGTTCCGACCCCCAAGTGGGCTGCGATCCCAACAGCAGGAGTGTGAGTGGACGAGAGTTAGGACTCTGAGGTTCCTGCAGTCAGCTTTGGCTTAGTGTGGTGTTTCTGTCTCTATCTCTGTACGATTCCTCGGTCTAAAATGTGAAATGGGTTGTTCCGAAAAAAACCTAGTGACCAGCTTTGGGCTTGGCTGGGGACAGAGCGGTCGGGCCAACCGCATATTCTGGGTCAGGAGTCACTGGGCTTGCGGAATCGTATCTGCAGCACCAGTGCCCAAGAACCGGAACACCTGGTGAACTTGGGTGAACAGCAGATGGCCCTGGGTTATTGCTGAGATTGTAGTAGGGAGCGAGCATCTGTCAGAGCCTTGGCTATATTAAAAAATAATTTGATTCGTGCAAAACCCTAGGGAGCGAGTGCTGTAGCAATGGGAAGAAAGTTCTTACTTGCATCGGTACCAATGTTGTCTTCAGCCTTTTTGTAGAAGATGCTCCCTCAGTTCTCAGCAGCAGTTTCTGGGTCATGAAAGGATTGTATAAGACCTGACAGGAGAAGCCCCAAGGCCTGAGCCCGGAGCTCAGAGCACTGCTTCTCAGTGGGGCCAGTCTAACTACGAGCTTGGCCTCCAGCCTGGGCTTGCGTGGGCGGTGAAGGGATCCCCTGAAATTTGTGGGGTCAGGGGCGCCCTGAAGGAGAAGGTGAGCTAGGGAAGTGGGGCACTGGGGCAGGCTGCTGCCTTGCCTGAAAAGGTCAAGCCTGAAGGAAGAAAAGGCAGGGACAGCTCTCCGGAGACTCACCTAGGCCTTTCGGACCGTTCGGGAGGCTTTCAGCCATGATTTTCTCACACGGCTCCTATCCCTTTCTTGCTCCTTCTTCTTCTGGGAGTCCATTATGTCTCTGAAGCTCTGTTCATTTTCTTTATTACTTCTTCTCTCTGTTCCCCAGAATGGCTAATCTCAATCGACCTATCTTCAGGTGCTCAGACTTTTTTCTTTTGCCTGCTTGCATCTGCTCTTGAGCCCCTTCCGTTGAAATTTTGAACTCTCCAATGTCTCCTGGAGAAATTCCTTTAGAAATAATTTTGATCCTTTTATCGATCTGTTTATTGATATTGATATTTCATGAGATATTCCTCACTTCTTTAGGTATGGTTTCCTTCAGTTCTTGGAATGTATTTAAAATAGCGGGCTTACTAAGCCCAATATCTGGGTTGGTAACATTTCAGAACTAATTTTGCAAAGTCTGTATTCCTCATCATGTGTGACCACTTACCTCTCTGTTCCATTAGCTTAGTGGTCTGGTAACAGATTTCCTGAAATGTTTGGAAGCAATGCGTCATCTAATCACTGTGCACACCCACTGCCTTTTAGATGCCCAGGAATATTCTGAAGCTATTAAAAGCCACTTAGGGATAGCTCATTCTCCAGCTTTTGGCTAACTTATCTTCTCCCCTCCACTGTTGTTTATGACTGCCACGAATCTCGACTGGTTTTAAATAAGTGTCCCTTGGGAGACACTTTGCACTAGATAAGCTCAGAGACAGGTCAATTAAAGACAGCTCTGCAAGCGGGGAGTTCCAGAGGATGGGTCAAATAACGACACCACTCTGAACAGGGCTGTGAAGAGATCTAGCCCTGTTCTGTCCTCAGAGCGGCCACCAGGCTGCCGGTCTTCGTTGCCCATGGGATGTTGGTTTTCAAACATGTGGCAGAGCTAGGGAAGGAGGAGAGTGAATACAGCTGAGTTAAAATACCATAAACTCACGGTTTCTCCTGAGAGTCACCCGTTTTTCTTGAATAAGCACTTGCTGGTTGGCTAGGTTTTGGTTAGTTTCCTAGTTTCTGAAAATGTGAAATCTGATAGGTTTCGTTTTCGTTTTTGTTTTTTTGCCACCATTCTCGTCGCTTTGATGGAACAGAAAGATTTTGGAAGGGAGTTCTTGTCATTTTTTTTCCTGATGTTATTCAAAGTTAATATAAGTAAATCGCAGCAATCTTTGCCTCATAGTGCTACATTGTGTGCCATTATTGTAATTGTTACTATTAAATGAGAGAACAAAGCCGGGTGTGGTGGTGTACACCTGTAATCCCAGCACTCAGGAGGCTGAGGCAGGAGGATCACCCTGAGTTTGAGGCCATCCTGGGCTACATAGTGAATTTAAGGTCAGCCTGAGTTTGAGGCCATCCTGGGCTACATAGTGAATTTAAGGTCAGCCTGAACTACACAGTGAGACCCTGTCTCAAACTAAATAAATAAATAGGTAGGTAGATAAATAAAAAAATAAATAAAGGCACGCATTTGAGAACATGTGTGAACCACCTTCCTCTCTCCAGAGAAGAGTGGTCCCAGGGAAAGCAGGAAGGGTGGATAGAGTAGGGAAAAGATGTTTATTTGCAGAGAAAACAGGAACATGCTTGGAAAGGTAGTGCTCAGAATCACAAATGTGGGAACTCTGATTCATGGCTGGCCTCGGGGGAGAAGGCCAGAACACAGACCGACTGCTGGGCTTCCAGGCCAAGAAGTACCTGCCGGTCCCTTGCACCTGGCTCTCTTGCCTGTCTCTTCCCTGCGTGGTCTCAGTTCAATGCTTTCCTCATCTGCTCTGACTTTAAAAGGCAGAAGCCTTCAAGGACAGGTGTACAGGGCCATAATGTGCATTCCTATGCATGGTCCCTGGAGAAGCCGCCTCGCCCTGTCCTGCTCTGCCCGGGGTGTTGGCTGGATGATGCATCTGTTTACGAGTATGCAGCAGCAGCCAAGGGCGTGGCGCCGGGACTATGTGACACCCTTGAGCACATGCCCACGCCTGTCAAAGCCCTCCACCCCAGGACTTGGTGTTTCCAAGACAGTCGAATATTTATGAGTCTCTGTGTGCCCAACAGGGGTGAGTGAGGCTGGGGTGCTCAGAGCAAGCAGCAGGGAGGAAGAGAAACAGAGGAGTAGAAGATGGGGTTTGGGCTCTTTGTCCTACACGCAGATGGCAAGATCTTTGGGGACTCAGCCCTGATGCTCTTGAAGGGTGGATTTCAAGGAATAGCTGGACTGATAATAGAAAGAAGTATTTCTGAACGTCAGGAGGGAAGTCACACACACTCTGGCCCACTGCCATCGAGGAGACACGACTGTAAGCACCAAAAGGGATCTTCTGGTGCTAGGCCTCAGTTCTGTATTTTATAGAGGAGGAAGCCGAGGCTGAGATAAACCTCATCGCCCCCTAACAGTCAGGGGGTGAGAGCCAGGCTCGATTCTCATCAAGTGCTTTTTCCTCCAGGCCATGCTCCCTTCACGGCCCAAGGGGTCCCTGTTTGCAGAATAGAGACCTAGGCAAGGAGCTCACCTGTAAGCTGCTGGGTCACATGGTAGCAAATCAAGGATTACCCTGAAATGCCAGGCATTTTAAGAAAGCTGTGCAGCTCCAAGCAGCCTGAGCTAAGGGGAGCCTGTGCAGATGGACTGCAGGTTTTCACCACGAGACCACAGCTTGTCGTAGCCATGTCCTGCCTTGTAGACATATGTGCCTGTACCATTGCTCCAGGCCTTGCACCCGGAAGGGCCTCATGACTGCTTTCAAGCTCTGCTGCCACTGCTTGACACTCTTGGCAACTGGGAAGAGAGAACCGTTTTCATTTTGCCTGGGCCCTCAGTAATCCAGTAGCAGCCCTGTGTGCCCGCCATGGATCCCTCCAGCCTGAGGGCACACAGTCACCCGGCCTGTCTTTGCAGGGAGAGAGAATGGAGCTGGGACATCAGTGAGTGACCACTGCTGGGGCCAGAAGGTCCTAGCCTGAGAGATCTGTCCCTCTTGTTTCTCCTGTCCTGCAGTCTGCTCTAGGGGAGAAGCCCCAGGCCTCGGCAAGAGGAAGTGGCCAGAGACAAGTGCCCTGGTTTTACAGCCCGGCTCTGGACACCAGCACCAGTACCTATGGTTCCGAGCTTCCTCCTTTGCAGGGAGGGTTGGGTGGCTGCTGAGTTCTGAGGGCGAGAAACCTGCCTTCTCTCCCCTGGGCCCCTTCTCTGGGACAAAAGGAAGGGCAAGAGGCAGGAAGGGGAGTGGGAAGTGGGTACATTACCCCCAGACAGGGTGAGATGTCCGCAGCCCCTGTCCTTTCTGGCATCCACTGCGATGCGTGCGGTGCAAATCCTCCAGAGGCCGAAGTGGGCTGCCTCGCAGGTGGTGTTGTGGTGCTCCATGTGGGGGCTCAGCACGGCCCAGTGGTCAGTCACCACAGCCACCACGGCCAGCACCATGCCCACCAGGATGCAGAAGAGGGTCACGCGAACCTTCAGGGATTTGGTCTGGGACATGGTGGTCACTGAGGGAAGGGTGCTCTGCGCAGGGGGCAGCTGCGTCTCCCAGGGTAGGTGGTGCCTGACCAGTGTGGCGGCAGTGGCTTTGGCGTGGGGGCGGAAGCTAAGTTTAGTGTGCCTGGCTGAGCCAGAGTGGGCTGGCCTTGGGGCTGAGAGACACTGGATGGGGCTGAGCAGCTGGCCCAGACGTGACAGAGGCCTGAGGAAGGCTTCTATTAATGCTCGCCTCCAGGCGTGTCACCTCAGGTTTCAGGGCTTTCTTCTCCTCTTGGAGCCAGAAAGACTCCAGGGTGGGGCAAGGGGAGAAGGCTCTAGATGGTGACTGGAGACCTCTGCTGCGAGGTGGGGTTGGGAGGGGGCAGAGAGGGTCCCGCTTGTTCATCAGGTGTGAGGGCTGAGGGGTACTGTGGGCTAAGGGCAGAGAACCCCGAGAGAGAGAACCCTGTCTCTTTATCCTGGGGGTCTGGGTACCCCAGAAACCTCCCTAGGGACAGCACGGGGACCACACTGACCTCCCACACATGCCCGGCTTCATCCCTCACGTCACAGAAAGTTTTCCCCTGTGGAATTTCCCAGGCTCGGTTGCCCAGCCATGATACGCTTAGCTTCTTTTCAGTTCTTTTCCCATCCCTGCTATTAGGTCCTGAAAGGAAGCTTCCGCTTGGGAATAGTACATCTCTAACACCTTTCTGACACTTGCAAACCGCGCTTTGAAATGGAGAGAGATCTGCCTGCAGGGGACAAGAGCCCAAGTGGACTTGACTACAGGCTGTCCCAAAGCAAATTTCAGTTTTGCCTTCTGTTAGGGCAGGCAAAACAGACTTTCCAGTATTGTTTTCACGTATAAAATAAATGCATATACATAAAAACATAAGTGGATCCACAGGAAGTGGGTACCACAGATACAGCAGAGAACATATGGAGGTGCGGGACCCCTGCTGAGGGTGCTGCCTGCTCCACACCTGCCAGGCTGGCTCTGAGGTCCCTGCTCCTATATCCCTCCTGAGTTCTGCTGTGTCTTCTGTCTCGGGTGAGCAGAGTCCCTCTTTCTGAGTCCAAGAGGTTGACAGTGAACAAGGAAATAGATCTTTGAGCTGGGCAGGATCTAGAGCTTCAAAACCCAGTCCTCAAGTTGACAGAGATTACAGGAAGACTCTGCCTGTGAGCAGAGAAACTTTCGGGCATCCAACTGTGGACTCACAAAATGCACATGTTAATGCTAACTGTGATAACAGCTTTATTTTTTTCCCAGTACTGGATTGAGCCTAGGGCTTTCTCACAGAATTACATCCATGCCCCTCCTTTTTTAAAAAAATTTGAGACTTGTTCTCAGTCACTAAATTGCCCCGGTTGGGCTCAAACTTTCCACCTTCCTGCTTCAGCTTCCTACAGCACTGGGATTATAGGCTTGTGCCACTGTGCCCAGCTACAGCTCATTTTCACTGAGTGTTCTCTATCTACCAAGAGGTCTGCTAAGCCTTTACATGGCATCAGAGTTAATCTTTTTTTTTTTTTTTTTTTTTTTTTTTTTTAAAAATTTTTTTTTAATTCAAAATTTTTTTCAAGTTTTAAAACATGAAGATA